ATAGTCACAACCTCTTCATAATACAATTAAATAAAATCGTTCAAGAATATAATTACAAATATTTTTTATTCCTTTTTTATTTTCTTAAGATTAAGTAACATTTGTTGATACAAATAAACACAAATAATGAAAAACATTGAATAAATTTGTGAGTTTTTAGATGGATATTGAAGGTAATACTGTTACAAGAACAAAAATATTTTCAAATATCGCTCAAAATACATATAATACCACAACATTTTTTAATTATAAAAAGAAAAATTTTTATCCGTTTCTAACATATTACAAATATATAAATTTATGTTATATTAATACTGCTAAACATTATATATAAAATATATAAAAGAAAAAATACCTTTGTAGTGTAATCAAAACACAACAAATTAATAGGTGTCTCTGAATATAAATAATAAACAAGGTTAAAAAGAAACTTATAAGAGTCGACGCAGTTCAAAGTATGCAATGTAATTTCATAACTATATATATATAAAAGAAAATTTATTATACAATAAAGATATATTCCTTATTATTATGTTTTAGCGTGTTGTGATGTGCGATATTTGACATGAGAAATATATGAAAATAATGTTTTCTCTTATCTTTGGCTTATCATTGGCTTCACTTATTCTAATAAAAATAAATCATTTGTGGTAAAAGAGCACAGCCCACATTAACATCTCACTAAAATTAATTAAACATACTAATGTCAAAGCCAAACTTAAAAAAAAATCACAGTTGGAAATCACCAAGAAAAGTAGATTCGTTGTTATTTGTTGGCAATTTTTTCTAAGATATTTAACATTCGATCTTGTCTTTCCACAGCCTCGTTATGCATTTTTTTCCTTTCTTCTTTATTTTCTTCCATAACTGCGAGTAATTTTTCTAACGCAGTATCTTGAGTTACTTTCTGTCCTGAATTAGAAAGAAGAAAAAATCAATAATTACATATTGTATACAAATATTAAATAGGAAATTTGCAAATCCTTTCTTTTAAATATCAATAATATCTATTTACGTTTTCGAGAACTTTTAGAAGATTGTGGAGATGAAGAGATCTCATTGTAAGTGTTACTACTGATGTTACTGTTGTTGTTTGAAGTAGAACTGGCAGGGGATAATATATTCCTGTTTGAAGAATCTAAAGTTAAAATTGGCGTCACCCATGGTTTTTGTCCAAACATCTCATCCATGATCTATAAAAAAATATAAATCAGAGGTTTGTTGTATAAATTTTATATTTTAAAACTAAAAGATGAAACTATACCCAAGCAGAATAGCAAGTTATGATAATATCAAAATGACATTAAAATGAATCGGAAATGATTGAAAAATGACTTTTAATGATCATTTTGGAG